TGGTGGTGACCTTGCTATGCTGGTCTACTGAAGACTTGGTGGCGTACTGTCGGAGGTTGCAGGTGCTTGCTCTTGGAAAACAAACTGACTTTCGCTCTGATCCTGATTCCGGCTTGCATCTGAGCTTGTACTTGTTGTTGGAGACATTGTCGTTGCATCTGCTGCTTTGGACTCTACGGTTGCGGTATCAACATCTGACACATCCATCATTAGATCTTGGCTAGCCAGGATCTGACCAGAGCGAGGTGCTCCTACTCAGCTGGTAGCTTGTTGTCTTGAACTGATCCACTGACTCTGACTGCAACACACTACTGCTAGAGTTGCTTCCGCTACATTCGACCTTGCATCGAGCTTTGCATCTCCTGCATCAATACACCCATCTACTGATCCTGGATACCAAATGTTGATCACGAGCAGGGGTTCTTCTGGCATCGGGAGTACCTGGTAGCTTTCGACTGATCCATTGTTCTGTGACTTTCATACACCGTTGTTGTTGCTCTTCTCTTTGATACTGACCATCTGCTGCCAGAACGGAAGAGAGGTGGAAGAGAGGGGTTGCTAAAGATAAGGTACTAAACCACTTGCCTATTGATCTGTTGTGAGTGGATTTTATGATTCAAGTTGTTTAAGCAAACAACCTAGTATGGTCGCATCCCCACCAATGACGCAAACCATACCCCTACACACAAGCAAACAACACACGATCTAGAAGCTAACGAAACTACTCTTCGGGACAGATTGGGTTTAGGTCAACTTCGGGAAAACTCTTCATGATCTTCGCGGAACGACGACTCTGAACTGATCTTCTCGCTCCTTGCACGAAGCTTGAGGCTCGACTTGGCTTGACTTCCGAACAGACATGAAGCTGACGGCTGGTCATCTAGGTGTGACAACTAAAAGAATTGGAGAGACTGGGAGGAGAATTTTGAAAAACCGTTTCGCAAAGAAAAGCCGAAGGGCGAGGGGAGACATTTTGCAAATAGGGTTTTCAGAAAGCTTGTCCTTAGGGTTTGCCCATTTGGCTCAACCTACAGTCGAGTTGGCTCTGATACCACTTTGTCACGCCCAGAAATTTAGCCCAAATTTCCAGACTATTTTGTGTATTAAATCCCTGTCCAGGACCAGCCAGGGTACACAAAACGACAAGTAATATACAGTTCCAAACGTAAATAAAGCGTAAAATACTTACAGAAGAGGCACTTAGTCCTCACACCGAAACAAAAGCAGCAGCAGCGGAAAAGGCGATCCTAGCGGGCTTCAGCTCCACTCCACAGGCAAAACTCAACTGAGGTCTGAGCCTTGGTCTTCCAACTTCGTCTTCAGCTCAGAAGCACTACACTTCTGAAAAGGGGGAATAATAGCAAGGCTGAGTACAACCACCGTACTCAGCAAGCCACACCAATGATGCAGACGTGCAAAGGGATACAAGGACGGTTTGTGGCTATTTGCATAAAGGCGGTTGTAAAACATTTTATTGAGCAAAACAGTAAAACTGTTGAGTAATTAAAGTAACATTAAATCTCCACTGATCAACGCTACACCACGTTGAACAGGCCCAACCAACCCACCTGTACTACAGTGTATTGGGTCGATTTATTAAGTGTGAGACTAATCACGGTGAATCTGGTCGATCGCCCATAACCGCGGGCACGGCTATTCGAATAGTTTTACTCTGGCCAGAGGTGCACAACTGTACCCACAAGACACAACCCACCGACATGTCACCGCGTCATCATGTGCCCATGATGCACACGTCACCATGTCGAGTGATTGTGACGAGATCCTTCGCATAACCCTCCCCTAACCATCCACACCACGCTAAGGTTTCACCCCCACCCCTCAAAAGGCAGTGGGCGGTCCCCTCTTGCGCCGCGGTGAATCCGGCAGCTGGACAACCGGACACCCCGGCCGACCCAACTCCATCACGCCCACCCTCGCCACCGGTGCCTAGGAAAGGGTCGAGCTATACTTCAGATCAAGCAGTTACCCATTCCCGCTTGTGACAAGCGCTGTAAGTCTTCCAGGGTTTCCCGTGAACCGGTCCTTAATTGCCATGGGTGCGACTCACAAAACCATGCACCCACAGCCCACCATTCAGTCGCATTTTAGTTGGATAATTACGACCATAAAACATGGCCAGATGTCTCGAGCACGCGGCTCAACAAGATACTAGAATGTCTAATACTGCAATTATCCCATCGACTGAGCTAGTGGTAATTAAGCATGGCTAAGCATATAGTTCTAGCTAGGTCACATAAGTAACATGAGCTAGTCGATTTATCACCCAAGGTTGACAAAGGATAGATATCAAGTAAACATGGCACAAGCGAGCAGATAGGTAAACCCTGATCCCATGTAATTAGCAAAACATGCATATTTATTTGCAAACGGTAAAACATTTATAAATTAGGATCAACATGCTCAAGGGGGAATGTGCGACTTGCCTTGCTTCTTCACTTTGATCTTCCGAACTCTTTTCCTCGCGACCGCGGACCTCCGAAACGACGGAAACTACACGCTGGCACGCAAAACGAGGAAAAACTCTAATAAAAACTAAGGAAACAGTACATAAAAACTAAACAAACATGTAGAGCTCAATTTTAGATGAATTTTGCAAGTTGAATGGCTCAATTCGGAGTTCGAATGAATTAGATATGAATTTTAGAAGTTTTGAGCCATTTAAATGAATTTCTATAATTATTCACGAATTATTGCGCAATTATTATTTATTTTCTCAAAGGAAATGACAAGTGCTGACGTCAACAAAGGGGAGGGGCGGCGCCGGCAAGCGGGCCCCACCGGTCAGCGGCACAAGGGCGCCGGTCCACCGTGGACCGGGACCACCGAGGCGGTCCACCGCCGGTCCACGGGAACCGACGGCCCGGATCGGCCCAAAGCCGATTGGACGGCCACGAGGCAGCGTGGCTGGGGCACGGGCACGGCATGAAGCCGGCTCGGCCGAGACATGACGCGGTGGCGGCAAGGGGGAGGCGGCAAGGGGGAGGCGGCAACCGGCTGCAGCAGCCGGCGACGTGGAACGGCGGCGGGCGGCCGGAGGACAGCGGCGCGCACGGGGACGGCGACGCACCCCAAGAGGCGGCGGTCGGCAAGAAAGGGGACGGGAAAAAAGGAAGGGAGGAGAGATCCTCACCGGAAGCGGCGGCCGACGTGGAGGAAGAGGACGGCGACGACGATTGCCCAATGGCGGCTTGCGAGGATGGAGGGCGGACAGGGTCGCCCTTGACCTTCAGGAGGAGAAGAGGGAGTTAGGGAGGGGAGGACCGATGCGGGGTGACTGGAAACGAAGACCGATGGCGATGACAAGAGGTAGAGCTCACCGGCGACCGAGGAAGGAGGAGCTCCGGCGGATTTCCGGCGAAGAGGGGCGGCCGGCCGAGGTCCTCCTCGTCCTTGCGGACGTGAGGGAGGCAACGGCGCGAGTCGACGTCGACCGAAGCGGCGGCGCGACGCGGCTTGGAGGCGGTGAAAGGGGCGGCGGCCTCGGGTGTGCGGTGGGAGTGGTGCTCGAGGGGTGGAGAGGGGGAAATAAGAGGCGGCCGGACTTCCCCTTGCGGTGGCGAAGCTGGCGGTGGCGGTGGCTCGGCGCGGCGACGGCTGTGGCGGCGGGAAACGGCGACCGGAGCTCGCCGGAGTGTGGCAGCGCGTGGGTGCGGCGTGGGGAGAGCGAGGGAGAGTATGCCGGGCTCGGGAAAAATGGGGAAACGGACGAGGGGAGCACGGGGATGCTTTTTATGGGCTCGGGAAGGCGGGATCGAGGCCGGACGTGGCGGAATCGGCCGGCGAAGTGGGGCGCCGACGTGGGGTGGTGGAGGGGTTAACCGGCGCCGATTTTCGCGGGGAGAGTGGGGGAAATGGTGGAGGGCGTGGAGGGGATCGTGCCCACGTCGTTGGATGCGAGCTCGGGTGCGGGAGGGCGCCGGATTTTGCGGCGACGTGGACGGCTATGGCGGTTGGGGTCGGCCGGCGAGAGGTAGGAGGAGGAGCTGCTGTCGGCGAAGGGAGAGAAGGAGGGACGCAAAACAGACTTTTGCGAGCGGGCCAAGTGAGAGGGGAGCCGGCCCGAGAGAGGGAGAAGGCGCGCGGGCCGCGGGAGAGGAAAGAAGACTTGGGCCGAAAATGGCCCAAAGAGAGGAAGGGGGAAATTTTATTTGTTTTCTTTTTATTTTAATTGATGCAATGATCTTTGTGTTATTAAAATTATTTCTTGAGCTCCGAAAATTCACGGAAAATTCCGGAGAGTATTTTAGGGCACAAAGAATATTGCAAAATATTCCCGGCCAATGATTTTTAAGGGAAAATTTTAATTCTCCCATTATTTCACTTGATTAAATTAATTTAACTTTTATTTAATTTCTAGAAAATGCATTATTTAATGATTTTTAAACCCGAACGAAAATCGGGGCGTTACACAAACTAGCAGATCTACGTTGTTACCGATATCTACAATACGCACTTCTAAATTAGTACAACTAAAACCATAAAAATATAATGCATTTATTCAAACAAATTTTTTAAAAATACACACTATTTAACTCAATAGTCACATATAGGATCTGCGAATATTACCTGAAATCGGCGTCTGAATCCGGCAGGGCTTCGCCCCTTCTTCTCTTCTCCTACCCTCTCTTCTTTTTTTTCACTGGAGTTGAGAGGTGAGAAATGAGGGCTGGGGCTGGGCGGCAGGCCTTTTATAGGTAGCGAGGCCTGCCGCCCGGCCAGTGGGCGGCAAGGGGCCGCCTGCAAAATGGCTGGCCCCCTGCGGCTCTTTTGCATTCGGACCCCTTGCCGCCCCACCAAAGGGCGGCAAGGGTTTTCATGCAAAATACCCACCCTCCGTCACAGCCCGTTCCTCCCCCGTTTGCCACGTCAGCTTGCTGCCCACCATTGGGGCGGCAGGGTCTATTTTTGCAAATTTTCTCGCCAATAGATTATTTATGTAAATATTAAAAAAAAATCTAAAAACGAAAAAAATTCCCCTACTTACCTCCCAAACGGCTGCCTAGGTGAATATGTTTCCTCTAGATTCTAGTCCCATCCCATCGTTTTAGCGTGGTTCTAATTCGTGATATTTCCTACAGTTTCATATATGCACTTACCGTATAGGCTAGTTCTTTCTTCTCTCATAAAGCCGTACATATTGAATTTGATTATTATCACAAGGTTTATATAGAACGCGATGATATTGTTGAGTCCGTGGTATAGTTTGAACACTGAGATCAACACGAAAATCCTTGATATTTTGGAACGAATTTTGTTTATATTTTAGGACAGATGGGTTATTTGGGAAGTGCTATACCCAGAAACCATCATGCAGGGGCGGAGCCAACGTGGGGGTGGGAGGGGNGGGCTCGAGCCCCCACTACCCCGCTGGACTCCTAGAAGTTGTGAGAGAGGAGAAGGGGGAAAAGAGGGAGAGGAAGAAGAAGGGGGGGGAGGGGGCTGGAGGAGGAAGAAGAAGGCTGAGCCCCCCTCTCCTCCAAACCTAGCTCGGCCACTGCCATCATGCAAGTAGCGCTTTTTCACATGATTGTAATTAAATATGTTCCTGCAAAGTACTAATACATCGTCAAAAAGTTGTAAATACTTGCCAGGATTACAAAGACGTCATTACTAGTAAATACATCTCCATAATGTTGTAAATGCATCCTCGTGTAACTTTAATCGGCGAGGAAGCGATAGCACCCAAGAGCTTACTATATATCTACCTATCATTCTGTATTGTTTATTTAATATATATTTGTGTCTTCTTTTCTTCGGAGTTCAATTCATATGCCAAAAAAAATGCTAAATTGCTAACTTTTTTCATTATAAATTTCTTCTATTCATGCAATAATTTCCCTATATGTAATTATTTGTGTAGATATTGATGAATGCAAAGAACCGAAGAAATACCCTTGTTATGGAAACTGCAAAAATATACCAGGGCATTTCGACTGTACATGCCCTAAGGGTACCCGAGGAAATGCCTTTGTTGAAGGAGCATGCCAAAAAATCATCTTAACATCCGGAGTACGAATAGCAATTGGTACGCACCTATACCAACTCTATCTCATCACGTACATATACTTTCAATATAGTTGAGGCTTCCAACGTCTTGAATTCCATTGCAATATAACTAGTTTTTGTTTGACTTCTGATGTGTTTCGTGTGGAAATGTAAACAAAACTCTTGATCTACTTGATTTGGTTATGGCTTACATAAACGTAAAACAATACTGATGTTAACATACTTGCTTAGACCATAAATTGATTACAACTTCCAATTTGTTCGTTCAGGAGTTGTTGCGGGTGCATTGGTTGGCCTCTTTGGTTTCCTTGGATGGGGGGTGATCAAGTACAAACAGAGAATAAAAAAACAAGCTCTATTAAGACAGGCTGATGAGTTTTTTCAACAACACGGAGGTCAGCTCCTTCTAGAAATGATGAAGGTAGAGGGCAATGCGGGGTTCACCCTCTATGAGAGAGAGCGGATCAAGATTGCAACAAATAACTTCAACAAGGCACACATTATTGGGGAAGGAGGACAGGGAACTGTTTACAGAGCAGTGATAGATGGCACTACCATGGCAATAAAGAGGTGCAAGGAGATTAATGAGAGCAAAAAAATGGACTTTGTGCAGGAATTGGTCATCCTTTGTCGCGTCAACCATACCAACATCGTCAGGCTGTTGGGTTGTTGCCTTCAGTTTGAGGCACCTATGCTTGTCTATGAGTTTGTGCAAAACAAAACACTACAAGAGCTGTTGGATCTCCAGAGGAGCAAGAGGTTTCATGTCACACTAGGAACACGTCTAAGGATCGCTGCAGAATCCGCAGATGCATTTGCACATCTCTACTCGCTGCCACGTCCAATACTCCACGGCGATGTGAAGCCAGCCAACATTCTTCTCGCAGAGGGATTGGTTGCGAAGGTGTCCGACTTTGGTTGTTCAACAATCGATGAGAAAACCCAAGTTGTGCCAAAAGGTACACCAGGCTATATTGATCCGGACTATCTACTCGAGTACCAGCTCACAGCCAGCAACGATGTATATAGCTTTGGAGTCATTCTTCTCGAGCTTCTCACTAGTAGGAGGCCATTTTCAAAAGAAAGGAAGAGCTTAACATCAATGTTTCAGGAAGCTATGGCAAATGGCACACTTGTCGAGCTCCTTGATAGCGACATAGTTGATGAAGCTAGCATGCGAGTGATCCAACAAGCCGCGGTTCTAGCTAATCAATGCTTGGTTGTTCCAGGTACAACCAGGTCCACAATGATGCTAGTGGCCACAGAGCTCTGACGGCTAGCATTAGCAGATGAAGTGCAGCAGTACCCACAACCGCCATTGGTGCTTGAGGACCTAAGCTTTACGGGGATAGGGAGAACATCGATGTCTACATGGTACGGTGGGAGCAAAACAAATGGGGTTTATGGCCTCTCGAAGAAAGCTGTGCCGAGCATAGAGTTTGCGAGATGATTGATAGACATCATTTCTTATGTTGTCGTTTGTAGGTGTGTGAGAGATTGAGTTTTCATCCAGAGTGGAGGAGCTGGTCAGTTGTGTATGACCATGCCTATGCATTGTGAGGAATAAGAGTACAAGAACGTACATGTAAACCCGTGAAGCATAATTGTATTGTGAGACTGATTAGCGAATCCTAAGAAAATAACTAGTTGTGGGAGTTGTATAGGTGAAACAATTATATATCAGTTGGAACCATACTACTTCAATAATCTACTTAATTATTTTTAAAGAAAACTCTCAATTTGCTCTCGAAAGTGATTGATTCCCTCATTTGCTCACGTAAAATTGGTTCTCCCTGATCTAATGCTCCTCATTCCCAGCTTTTATCCTTTATTTGACATTTCGGTTAGTTTTATATATCAACCTAGTAAAATGATAGTTTTCTAAACCTAGTGGCATGATAGTTTTGCCCTTAACTTTTCCTGTGCGTGGTTAGCAATTTTCGTAAACCTACATGTTATTTTAGCAAAGAAGTGTTATGGAAAATTATTTAAATTTAGTATATTGCATGAAATTAATTGCCATGGTTGCTTGTTAATTTGTAAGCTGTACCATACTTTTAATTTTAGAACTTCCACTACCGGGGAAAGGCTCTTCCGGTTTGTAACTCTTTTTACTCCTGAGTTTCAAACCAGGATGCCCAATCCGGGACTAAAGATGCCGGTTAAAATAACCGGGAGTTAAAATGAATCCTTACCAACTGGGACTAAAGATGTAGCCAGGCGGCAGGTTTCTTTTTTCCTTTTTTTATTGTTTTTAACATCGAATAATGATTTCACTCCATCCACAAATCAACCCCAAATCAATCAACACAGATCACAGCACAAAAGATATCACCAAATCCTCAAATCAATCATCACCAAATACATCACAAAGTGTAAAAAAATTACATAACAAGTTCTACAAAAAATCATCACAAATACATCACATATTCACATCACACAAATACATCTCGGATCCAATCACAAATTCTTAAAAAACAGAAAAAAAATCAAATACATCCTCGATCCGCGCCGGCCGGCTCCCCTCCGACAGAGGCGCAACCGCCGCCTGCCGCGCCGGCCGCCTCCGCGCCAGCGCCTCCGGGCCGGCCGCCGCCCCTCCGCGAGGCCTCTCCGCCGGCCGCTCCTCGATCTGCTGCCGGAGAGAGAAGTAGAAGTTGTAGAGAAGGGAAGGATAAGGATAACACATAGAGGGAGGTGAGGAGAAGGAGAGGATAAGGATAAGGATAAGGATAAGAGATAGAAGAAGATGAGGAGTTGGGAGGATAAGTCATAGGGATTATATCCTGCATACGGAATTTTAGTCCCGGTTGGTAATACCATACAGGACTAAAGATCGAAATAATCTTTACTCCCGGTTGGTATTACCAACCGGTACTAAAGTGGTGATCTTTAGTCCTAGTTTGTGCCACCAACCGGGACTAAAAATCCTCGGTCCCCTGACAAGCCCTTGGCAGAGAATGAACCGGGACTAAAAATCTTCTTTAGTTCCAGTTGGTGTTAATTACCAACCGCACACCAACCAGGACTAAAGATCAAGATTTTTTTAACCGGGACTAAAAATGATTTTTTGTCCCGATTTTTATAGAACCAGGACTATTGTAGTTTTTGGTCGACCCTGCAAAGATCAGTTTTATAGTAAAATTAAAGATCAATTTTACAGTTGATTTATTTAATTTTTTTATCTTTCAGTCTTTGCTTCCAAACCGTATGAACATAAGTACAAATTAGAAGTCTCCCCCTTTACTACGGAGAACTAAACAGTTGGTAAGTACTCCATCCTCTTCATATTATAATAAGTCGTTTGACTTTTTACCTAGTCAAACTTCTTCAAATTTGACCAAATTTATATAAAAATATACTAACATTTTCAATACACAAGAGCAAAATTACCATTTCACCTATCGACTAGATGTATGTTAGCGAAGGACTAATGAGAAGAGCAAAACAAATGATAAAATTCGATAATGAATGGTATAAGAGGGAGGGCCGATTTCACGTGGAAAAATGAATGTATCAATTAATGGATAAATAAATATTTTTCTCTTATTTTTGAGGCTAGAAAAGAGGTCATCACCAGTTAACACACTACTCTGTCAATTTGAATGGGCTTTCTCACCTTTACGACTAACAAGTGGAGGTGGTTGCATGATACTCTCATAGCTCGTTTTTCTGATATAAACAATGAAAATGGTCAGAAGCAATATAACATTCTTTCCATGGGAATAATCCTCGGGCGGTCGGTAACTTTTTATATTTTAACTGTCCAGTGGTGATATTGTAACATAACACAAAAAGATAGTTGAAAATTAAAGTTTATGTATGACTATAGAACTTTATAGTAGTATCTTCTAGATCAGTAAAAGGGTCCCTATGCTATAGATTGGTGTAGAATCTCTTCTCCTGGTTTCATCCCTTTCTTCCATCGACGTGATTGGCTTTCGATGTGTTTGGCTTGGACGACAGACTTGGAGGTGCCCCGCCTCTGTTTGGATGTCGAGAAGAAAAGTCCCTGGTGACGACTTGACTCGTGAAGGTTGTCAGGGTTGGCCGCGGATCGCGCCGATGCTGGAATAGTCGCTGCAGATCGAGTTGAAGCGACATCACCGAGCGCACGGTGCGACAACAGCGACGACGCGACGCGATCCGAAGACATCACTGCCCGCGGTAACTGCCTCCCAGAACTGGCCTTTCGCGGCCCACTCGCAATTCACAAAGCGGCCCTGTGGGCTATGCATATAGGAAAAGGTCCAATTTGACTCCATCAAAATATAGCTCAAATCTAATTTATATCTCTCAATTGTAAAACTGAATATATCGACTCCTCCAACACTCAATACCGTCGAAAACAACCTCCTCAACTGTTTTGATTGTGGTTTTTGCTAACGTGACAACCATGTGGAGGCCTAGTCATCATGATATTAACAGTAGAGTGAGGCCCACGTGTGATTCCTTTCCAATCTCCTTCCTTCTCTTCCCCTCTCCCCCTTCCTTTGTTTTCAGGCTTCACGACAGCTAGTGGCTACAGGGCGGAGGAGGACCTCGAGGGAGCTGGGTGGCAGCGAGTTACTCCCCACCTTGCAACGAGCTCGAGCTCCACATCCATCTCCATCGAGGAGGATAAGGAGTGAGGAGCCAAGGAGGAGGTGCTTGGGGCGACCGTGCGTGAGTGGGAGAAGAGCTCCGTCATCGGGGAGAAAGGCGCTCAAGGAGGTGTTGACACGCCGTCCCTAAGCTGGCCCCCATCACCCCTATCTCCTCTTGGCGCCAACTAGGCCGAGGCCATCATAGATCCCGCCTGCGACTGTCGCCTAGACTACATGTTCACCCTGCACGTGGACTCGGTGGACGACCTCCCCTGCCGCGCTTGATAACTCCCTGATCTCTGTCCACTTCCACCGTCAAAGAAGACCCGGTCGGATGGGCACCATCCCAATTGGAGGGGAGTGCTCGCCGCCACCGCCGCTTCTCCTCGCCATTTCGCCTCCTCCGTCGCTATGGAGAGGAGGGACTAGTCTCTTTCCTCCAGGGAGGGTCAACTGGCCAGGGGGAAGAGGAGGAGAGAGATACGAGGAAGAAGGGAGGGAGAGAAAGGGAGGAGAAGAAAGAGAAGAGTCACGACAGGTGGACCTCACATGCTAATTAACCAAGTTAGATTATGTCAACGTGCCTCATCAACGAAAACATTTAAAGGAGTCAACTAAATCGGTTTTAATAGTATAGCGTTTCATACTCTAGTATTACGGCAGAGGGTATGAATCAAATTGAAGACGCATTTTAGGGACTTAAAGTGGACTTATTCCATATATACACAGTCTACAAGCAATGACCGACGTATCTGATGGGCTGGTGAAAAAGATGCTCCCCGTGGCCCAAAGCAGTGAATGCTGCCGTCTTCCCGTTGTCAAAAGACTCTCCGATACTTCTTCTTTTTCTTTTTTTTTCGAACTTCAACTCTAACACAGTTAGGCCCATTTGGAATGGAATGACAGAATTTTCTCCGATACCTATCAATAAGGCGGTCACACACATCCTATGACTTGGTATTTCACAAGTTTCTAAAGAAGAAGTATGCTTCCCGCGTTCTATCAGTCAACCCACCCTGTACCACCTCATTTACCCGTCCTATAAGTACATGTCAATCAATTAAGAGTTCTCTTTGTTCACTACTAGTAAAAAACAATTTTCCTGCAAAAGGAGCTCTTTAGATCGTAGAAAGAGCGTTTCCGCGTGTGTCTGTAAAAATCGGCATCCCATTTTCACGTGTAGACCTTTAAGAGGCCTGCACGTGAAAATCGATTTTCGCAGACGTGCCTCTTAACGGTTCGCACGCAAAAATAAGCCTATTTTCGCATGAGGACCCTTAAGAGGCTCTCTTAAAGGCCCGCCTACTAGTCTATCATTCCCTTCTTTTCGCTCCTCAACACTTTAAAATTTTTCATCCTTATCCTCTCACTCCTCTCACTCTCTCACCTCTCCCTCACTCTCTTAATCTGTCTCCTCTCTTATTCTCCTCTCGCGGTCTAGTGTGTGCGGCGAGTGCGGCCAGCGGAGGGCACAGACGGCGGTGGGCGCGGACGGCGGCATCGAGCGGCTTGGCGGTGGGCGCGGCTGGTGGCACCGATCGGCTCGGTGACGGGCGGATCCGCCTCGGCAAGCCTCCTGACGGTGGCGGGCGGCGTGGTCGACGGCGAAGGCGGTGGCTCCCTCGCGAAGCTCCGGCGGCGATGACAATGAGGAGGCGGCCGGTAGCGGCGCTGATGGCCCCACGCATACGTGCGCTGGCTGGATCCACGCTGCCCTCGCCGCCGACGACGAGGAGGCGATGGCAGCCGGGAGCGGTGCCGCCGGCTTCGCGCGCACGCGCGCCGCCGCCAACGGATTCTCCGGTTTCCATTTTTTGAATTTTTATTTTATTTTTTGGAATTTTATTTTTCTATGCAGGCGACATTACCCGACCGCACGCGAAAATCCGATTATCCCTTGCGATTGGGCCGTCCACATGCGAAATATATATTTTCACAGACATGGGACCTCCACATGGAAAAAACCCTTTTTGACCGCACGGAAAAATCCTTTTTTATTAGTGGTTGGAGCTAATTCTTAAACATGATATTATGGTTAAGCATGATCACCTAATTTTTTATACGGAATTAATGGAAGAGTAATGGCCGGTGCCTGATGAATCCATAGGACCGCTTAAACTCGTGTGTGGCGTTGTAGATGGTGCAGTAGTGGTATACCATACATGGTGTTGGTAATTTTTTGACAAGTTGACAAGCACGATCGTAGCATCTTAAGTCTTGTGGTGATCCTAGAGTCGCCAACCACCTCGATCTAGCAAAAAGCTAAACCTAGATGGGTTTTGATAACTAAACCGGCTAGCGGAGCCGATTTCTAGATAACTACCCGTCTCGTGGGCAAACGGAAGGTTTTCAGGACAAACCTACAAAGAGATGTCGCACTCTCGCAGCAGCGGCGGACGGTTTACAGCGCAAACCGACAAAGATGGACAAACTAAGAGAAAACTAAAAGCAATATGAAAAGAACGATTCGATTGATTGATAGTAGATTGATTTTACAATGAACCGGCCTTGTCCCTTATACAGGGGTTGGTCTTGCCCTCTACAGGCCCTCCTCCACGTCCAACTCGGGGTAGAAACCAAAGGAAACCCAAAACATGCCTTCCCGAGCAAGGAAACCTCGAGACCCGACGAAACAGGGTCGGACTCGGACCAGCCGGTGTGCGGCCGGTCACACCGCCGGTCTGACCGGCCCTCAACCGGCGGTCTGACCGCCCAACACAAGGCCTACCCCAGAGGAAACCGGTAGACTTCCAAATTTTGGCAATATTTCCTATTTTAATCCTAGGTGCCAAATTTAGGTGTAAACATATGATACTCCCTCCGTTTCACAATGTAAGTCATTCTAGTATTTCCTGCATTCGTATTAATGTTAATGAATCTAGACATATATATCTATCTAGATTCATTTGCATCAATATTAATGTGGAAAATGTTAGAATGACTTCCATTGTGAAACGGAGGAATTAGTACTACACATGGTGTAGTAGTAAACTCCCAGACTTCTCGAGTAGTTATAGCCAAACGAGGTTCTCAGAAATCTGAATGCTATTGTGTTCTTACACAATATTGTCACTCCATTTCGCAGTGGACATAAAGAAAAAACCCTGAAAACTAGTGATCGAAGGCCAAAAGAAACCAAAATCTGCACACTGTTTTGTCCCTTTGGACACAATTTACAAACGCAACCATTACAGGCATCTCAACAAGAACTGCATCTCTGACCATCAAGGCCCCAACTATCTGCATATGATTGAAATCAAACAAACAAAACCAGCACTCCATGGGGGAAAAAATCAATCAACCTATCCCTCTCTCTATACAGGAAACAACAAATCAATCATCATCCAGTTAAAAACCCAATTCCACCATCTTGTACAAGCAAACACAATATTGATCAGGTCATGGCTCTTTCAGAACCTCAATAACCAAATCCCTAGCCCTGTGGAAGCACTTGGCAGAGAATCTCTCGTACACCATCTCGTACATCTGCAGGTTCAAATACGCAAACCTCATGTATCTGTCAATGCATTCCTCATACTTCTGGTACAATGCAGGGATGGTCAGAACAGCAACAATACCTGTCAGCATGAGGCAAAGAAACAGGGCGTGCTTACGATCAATCATTCCAATGCCAAACCATTGTACAAGTGGAACTAAATGTTGGAAAATTATACCGGTAATAAAATGATGGGAGCTGCTTACTTGTGTAACATAAAGTGGTGAAATCAGTCAGGCTGCCAATGATAGAAATGATCCACAGGCTAAGGAAGACTTGATAAAATAGCACCGAGTCTTTCCCGAGTGCGATGTCATGGAAGACAGAGAAGACCGTGTTCATGCCAGAATGCAGCAGGGCTGCCACTTCATTCACAACCTGCTGCGAAATGCGCATCTCTGGAATAGGTGGCTCTGGCCTGCAACCTCATTTGTTTGCACAACACAACCAGCATCGTTTAAAATATTTGCCAAATGTCCACAGCGATGAGCAATTCACTCATCTGATTGAAGTAAAAAACAGTAAGCTGTTTGCAAGACAAAGCTTATCATTGTCTACCCTTAGCATTTCAGTTAAAATAGTTTACAGCACGTACCTAATCTGACATCAGTATCACCTGGCTGGTTGTTAGATTGTCAATTAGCATAAATTTGGTCAAAGTTCAAAGCATCCACCTAATCCTCTAACTGAAGTAATAATGATTAAATTGATGGAGGAATGTCAAAACAACAGTGAAAGCTGTGATGATGATAAGAATTAAGTGCCTGGATTGTTCCTTCCATTGGTTAACTATCAACTGAAATCTGTATCCCAAAATGGAAAGTAGAGTCCAACAGAAATTCCATTCCTGTGCGAAATCGAAGGCTAAGAGTACTATGTTGATGTAATGAGATGGCTAGGATTGAGGAGCTGAGATCCCAATCTCACCTGTTGAGGAGGCGGGCGGCCTTGGCCCAGAGGAAGAGGACGGTGAGGAGGAGGAGGAGGACGTTGGAGGCGAGGGAGAGGAAGGTGTAGCCGCCGGAGCCGAAGAGCAGCCAGCCGGAGACGGTCGCCGCCAGCAGGCAGGCGCTCACGTCGCCCCGCCGCCACATCACCACGTCCCCAACTGCAACCATCGAATCGATTTAATCCTCGATCAAACAAAGCTGGAAGCATACCTACCCATCATCGGATCGAGATGCCTACCAAATTCTCCGATCAGAGATGAGACGCCGCCGCCGCCGCCGGGGCAGCAAGAATCGTCACGACGATCCATGGACGACGAATCGAATCAATCCGAACAAGCAGCGAATCAGCAACCAGCTGGCTAGACCGCGGATCGAAGGAGGAAGGGGCAAGTCAATGCCTTTTCCTACAAGGAGAAGAATCGGGGATTTCGGAAACTTTCCCCAAATGAGATTTCTCGGTGCGCTAGCTGGACTCCACTCAACCACCGATCAACAGCTCAACTCCCTCCCAGGCTCCCAGCTCGATGTCGCAGCTCACCCTGACAGGTGGGCCCTTGGCCGTTGTACAGCGTGGAAAGTTGCCACGTCGGACGCTCGTGGCCACGTCAGCCTCGCGTGCATGGCGCAACGGTAAGGCCATTCACAGTGCGTATACCTGTACTAGTTGAGCACTTTCTACGAGTTCTCACGTTAATTATATACCCCATCTGCCCACGTCGCCAGCGGACAAAGGCGCATACATTAATTATATACCCCATCTGCACACACGTTAATTATATATCCCACTTTCTACGAGTTTTCACGTTAATTATATACCCCATCTGCCCACGTCGCCAACGGACAAAGGCGCACACATTAATTATATACCCCATCTGCACACACGTTAATTATATATCCCACTTTCTACGAGTTCTCACGTTAATTATATACCCCATCTGCCCACGTCGCCAGCGGACAAAGGCGCACACATTAATTATATACCCCATCTGCACACACGTTAATTATATATCCCACTTTCTACGAGTTTTCACGTTAATTATATACCCCATCTGCCCACGTCGCCAGCGGACAAAGGCGCACACATTAATTATATACCCCATCTGCACACACGTTAATTATATATCCCACTTTCTACGAGTTCTCACGTTAATTATATACCCCATCTGCCCACGTCGCCAGCGGACAAAGGCGCACACATTAATTATATACCCCATCTGCACACACGTTAATTATATATCCCATCTGTCCACGTCGCCAGCGGACAAAGGCACACAGCCATGGCAACCCGTCGTCGTATGTGGCGGTCCAGCGTGCGCCTCGACACATCATCATCCTCTCCAGCCGCTTGTTAGAGTGCGCAGCCCGGCCCACTAACCGTGGGCTACCCAGGTCACATTGGGGCTGCTCCACCACAGGCTCAACCGGAGCCACAACTTTAGGTTCTGGGCCTACACAACCAAAAGACTAGTCTGATGGGTGAGGACCGCCCCCACCTTTTAAGTCGTGCTCCTCCATCATCAATTACCGATGTGCGACTAAACCCAACACCGCACGTGCTCCAGTAATCTCGGACCCCCGGAATAGAGCTTGTGGATGGTTAACGTATATACTTTCTCTGTTTTACAATGTAAGTCATTCTAACATTCTTACATTGTTAAACGGAGCGGAGGGAGTACCTGCTAACTTATATACTTGCATGCGTTCTTGCAGTTCGAGTCCTGCTTGCAGAGGTACGTGTGGGAGGTCGACAGAGCTATCGAGCCCCAGGTGAACAACTCACGAACTTGCTGTCGACGGATATCTGCTTAGCTTAATATGTCGTGTCCTGCATGCATGCATATGACTACATTACATACAAGAACTACAAACCCAAATATTTCAATCCACTATTAAAATAATATTTCTACAATAATCTACACGATAAGAAGAAAGTTTATTAGTATAGTTCACTGTTAGCTTTAAGCCCATATTAAAATTGTTTTCACCTTTTCTTTTCTCTATCTTTCTCCCACTTACGCATTTAATTTATTTATTTATGTTGAAGCATGTGTGTAGTTCTAGGTTATTCATGAGAGTGAATACCCTTTATATTTTTTCTTTTTCCAATCCACGTGAGTTTTACGTTTATAGCTGGCTTATAGCCCACTACTATCTTTGCTCTAATCCTTCTCATGCATTCATGATTGAATTCATGAATGAAAATCTATAGCAAAGGTAAGGCCCCAGTTAAATAACCAAGATTGGTTTCTGATTTGGTTGTTCTTTTGTTCACCCAGAAATCTTTTGCATGCTTGCACCTAATAAAAAGACAGATCCATATAAAATAGTTGCATCTGCAGCCCATTTATACATGTGTTCTGTACTTTAACATTTTCTTGATCTATGATTTTGATTAAATAATAAATCATTTTTTTTACTTTTCCTTATATAATATGAGTCGTTTCACGGATAAGTTGAACAGCAAAAAAACACCGTAATTTACTCAATGAAAATTGAGAATTAATCATAATTTTGAAGCAGTGAATAATTTTGAAACAGTGAACATATATATCGACCCATAATTTTTTCTTGCATATAAAACTAGCAACTAATTGATTAATTTTTCCCATTGCCCTATCTCTGAATTATTAAAGTCCATAGGGCAATGTTTGTACTCCTACAGGCTACGTATTACTGGCGGTTCGAATTTGATCCCTAATGTTAATATTTTCCTCACATGTTATATCTATATTTACTAATAAATCTGTCCCCGTACTTCGTCCAAATACATTTCATTGAATGACGATATATATATAACTTATCAGCCTTATCAGCCTAATCCATAGTTCTTTTTAATTTTCAAAGTTGGAGTATAACACAATCGCATGTCTATGGCTAAAATTATTCAAATTAAGAAGGAAACATGGAAAGGCAAGGTCAGAGAAATTAGACTAGGGGATGTGGTAATCCGAACAACAACCTATGGTCCTATCACTAGTACAGAATATGTCATAGGTGCCGGTTTGCAAGTGTCTATAGGTGCTGGATTTTCACCCGGCACCAATTAGTTGGCACCAGTAGCAAAACCCGGCACCTATACAAAAATAGAACCAGCACCTATAAGTTCACACGAGCCAAAAAAAAAAAAAGGGGAAGAGCCGGCTCGAATCGAGCCGAGCTCACCAACTGCGTCCTCACGCCCTGCCCCACATGGCCACATCGATTGCTCCCGACAAATTCATCCACAAATTCACAAAAAAATCATCCACAACCATACAACCATACTCCACAAATTCACAAAAATTCATCCACAACCATACAACCATACTCCATGTTCATCACCGCCCTACTCGATCCCCTTCATCACCGCCTCTCTGATCCGAGATCAACTCCAACAGCAAACTACTATATTCATCAAGAACTAGCAAATACTACAAAGATGAATGAACTCATGCGGGAACTCAAGAACACTCAAGAACCTTCGTCCTTCTCCCTTGGGTCGCCTCCGGCCTCCTTCCTTGAGATCCGCTGCTGTGGCACGGCCGCTGCCGCCGCTGTGGTGTGCCGCAGCTGCCTCCTCCAGGCAGCCGCCGGCCACAGGAGCTCGCCGCCTCCCCCTCCGCCGGATCTAGTGGAGGGGAGGGCGCAGCAGCCGCCGCCGCCGCCTCAGGCAGCCACCGGCCGCGGGAGCTCGCCGCCTCCCTTCCCGCTGGATCTGGCGGAGGGGAGGGCGCAGCCGCCGCCGCCACTGCCTCAGGCAGTCGCCCGCCGCGGGAGCTCGCCCGCTGCCTCAGGTGCCGGTTTTAACTGAACCGGCACAGATAAATGTGATTCTAGGTCTTTTTCAGAGATTAAAGATAAACGAAAATGACTCTGATGATCCTCTTTTAGTAATGTGTAGTTGGAGAGGAGATGGTTGTTGGATTTAAGATTGGGTGAAAATTAAATAAGAAGTGGTCTGATGGAGGAAGCAGTACTCTAAAATCTCTTATATTTATGGATAAATTTTGAACCCAAATCCATTATATATGTTTGTGCAAAGAAGGAATACTTATTAGCCTCGACATGATACTTATTCATTTCACGCACGGATATTATTAATATTTATTTTGTTTGTTGCATGTCACCATGATATATGGTACGCAGTAAAGACTTTTTTTGTCCATTAAGGTGGTCAAGTGTACATGATAACAGACTTGAAAGTTTCATCTGTAGCATTTTATTGCCAACTTCCAATGATAATTCAGTCAACTTCTTAAACATTTACATTTTCAAGCATTGAGAGTGTTTCCAAAGAAAGTATATTTATGTGGTAAGGTGTTGGTTTGGAGTTTGGACCATTATTTATTGGCAACAAAATTGATTGCTATCATAGTAAAAGTTTCTTATAAACTTTATATTGACCTCATCCTTTTCCTTATGCAGATATCGTTGTCTTAACATCTCACTTAGCTAGGACTGATTGAAGAAACACAGTAAAGTGGTGGAATGAGAAATATCCATGAAATTATACTCTAAACTGCGTAAGTTTAATTAATATCATTTAATCCTTATAAGTATTGGGAGCAGTTTATTTGAATTTTAAGCATATGCATATATAGTTGAAACAATTCGAATCACACTATATATATGGAGTGACAAGAAGGGGATAAAGTTGGGTTTTTTTTTTAATCACGAGCAAGAGTACTGTTTCATCTATTTTACTGGAAGAAATAAATTTCTATTCGTACCTTGATTTGTTTATATATATCTAGATTTAATTTTGCAATGCATTGAGTGATACACGATGACATAATTTATATTCTCAACATTTTTCAAAATCTTCATGGTTATTTAGAAGGCATGCAAATAATCAATAATCTTTGCCCCATAATGCTTCACGACCATTTTATGATAATTTGAAGCTAAACTGCATTACAAATAATGAATTGAGTGGAGGAACATGCCATGAAACTTGCCCATAAATAAATTAGGGAATATAAGAAAATTGCCACATTTGTCAAAATAGCATGACATTATTTTGACAGTTTATATATATCTTAGGTAGATCGTACTATCATCACAATTAAATATTAAATCATATCCATAATTCATATTAAATAAAACAAGAAAATTCAAATATCATGGATTATGAATTTGATATCTGTTAATTTAACCCAAAATCAATAATTGTACAATTTAGCTAACATGTTCCCCTATAAAACGTGTTAGCTTACATTGACTTTTGTTTATCCTGAGTTATGTAATTTGCAAATTAACAAGCATGTTTAGTCTATGATTAAGATTTTACTATTTATAAAAGAATTTGCTATATAACAAAATCCTGTGCAATGCACGGGTTAGCGACTAGTTCTTCTAACAAATCAAGGCCGAGCGGCGTGGGGGAGAACAACGCAGATGCGTTGTGGAGGTCGTGGCCTCGCCGGTTCGTGGCTCCACGCGAGTGTTCCCCTCCCCATCCCCCGAGCCGGCGATGGAGGAAGAGGAAGAGATGGCGGTGAAGGAGGAATAGG